GTATACATTATATACATACATATATAACAAGATCAAGTTGAAAGGGACTTGAAACGTGATTTTGATGGAACCGACCCGTCCTTTGTGAAAATTAATCGAACGCTTTTTCTGCCCCTCCTTCCCCCGTCCTTCTCGATGGATCTATTCTTCCAGCGGGATTTTAATTTACTTCATTTTTCTCAAATATACGCTCAATTAACTCCTCGGCGAGGCACGGTGCCTTTCAAAGGTGTTCGTGACAAAATTTCTCTTACCTCTTCCCCCCCGCGTGCTCGCTTCACTCCTTTTTACAGCGTATTATCTCGCTCGCCTTGTCCCCGATGTTTCCATTTCGAAATTCAATGCCACAACAGTCTAGACAATGGCGATACCGGAGGAAATTCTGCACGGTTTAATCTTCCATGGTGTCTTATTTGCGCGGCAACAAGCATCGCAACCGATGCGATGGTTCGAGTGTCTGCCTGTGTATACCTTGAGGATCCGACGTACTGCCGGGTACCTTTTTCCCGGTGCACTGCCTGTAAACTGCAAAGCCGATTGGTTAGAGTACTGGCTGAAACACCTGACAGGGATACTTCAAGTATCTCCATTATACGGTATGCGCGACGTGAAACAGGCCACCTAATTATCTTCTGTCGCGGCGGCGGTATGAAAAATCTTTCCTCTGCAATTTAAACGAGATTGAGAGGAAGACGTAGTGGTAATTTTTTCCGAACGTGGGTTTATTAACAAATAGAAATTTCTTGGGGAGGTTACATTTGTAATGTTCGTTTAATTATTGTGTTAATGCTAATTGAATTCTGAAGTTGTTGATTGAAATGAACATTATTTTCTAAAGGTGAATTTAATTCTTTTTTCATTTTCCTCGAGGTCTCTCGTGTTTTTTAAATGTATCCGTGTAGGTATTTTTGCCTATTGTGTAATATAATCCATGTATTTACAAAAGCTTACGTTTCTAAATTGTTTTACTTTACGTTTAAGTAACTAAAGAATGTAAATTTCTTTTGTAGAGGTTGCATTCGTAAATCTGTTTGTTTACTCTATTAATGCTAACTGAATTGCAAAGTTGTTCATTGAAATAAAGATTATTTTATGAATCTACATTTAATCCTGTTCTTAATTTTGTTGAATGTTAATCATTTTTTTTAAATACATCTAAGTATGCATTTTTGTTTATTGTATAATGTAATTCATGTATTCACATACATATGATCATAAATTGATTTATTTTGTCAAAATTTGTACATCTTCATGGAAAAAGTAGTATGCAGGAAAGTAATTTCAAGGCAATACTATTATGTAAGTTTTAACAGTAATGTCAATTGGAATACAGACTAAAAGTAAATATCAAAATACGTGTATTTAAAGAAACGCAAATGATGCTGAAAGAAACTGAAAGATTCTATTTTATAAAAGATTCTTTGTCTCCCTTATTTGCTCTTCGAAGCTACTGAAATTGCAGAAAGAATATGTCTCATATCATTTGTTATCGCAAATAATTATGCAGTCTGTTTTACGTTAACATAGAATACTCTATGACTTTATAATAAAAGAAATTTTGTATAATATTGGAAATGATATCCACTTTATTTAACGTTTTGTCTCATTAAAAGGCAATAATATAATGTTTTTCGAATATCTTTTAATTGAAAGAGTCCATATAGTTGATGTTTCAATATTAGGCTCAACATTGAACGTATTCATCTGTCATCTACGAAATAACTGAAATTAAGTCGCGTATGCAAATATTATTTTCGTCAAGCAGTTACGCTAATCAGTTTGAAATTCTAATAAGTCAGCTATTACACAATCATAATGACAGCTATTACGCCACGGTGCAGGTAAACAATAGTTGTCACATCAAATCGCTAATAACTTGAGGTAGTCGTTGATAATTGAACATTCTCTGACAGGTGTTTACCTATTTACATATGTGTGCCAACATCATTTGAGTGTATTCGAATGGAGGAAAGTCGATGGTTAAGCTACTTTGTTTGCAAATGTGACAAGCTCAACTGTGAAATTATTGGCACGAAACGTTATTACTCTATTCTGCGTTACGTAAATTCTGTCATAACTGACATTACAGAACGAAGACATGTCCAAATAAATTATAATACCGCGCGGAGAGCTCTAAGAGAAATGTAAATTATTTATACGTAAATATAAATGCAATGAGAGTAAAGCTATTGTTATAGAAATTCAAGTACCTTTTTAAAATATAAAATAATACTGAAAATTAATTAATAGTTATTTAAAAAATGTTTAATTCTGTAAAACAACATAATTTAAAAGTAAGGTTTTAAATCTTTTCCAATATATCATTTAGGCGTCATTTTCATATCGCTTTCTTCTTATTTCACTTGATATTTTGTATTTCATTTCATTTCGTATAAATGGTATTGAAACGAGAAAACTGAATATTACACTTAGCATAATAAATAATATCGATTGCTGGAAAATTCAATATTCTTTTTAGTCATATATTTTTGAAATATTTTATTCATTTCTCTGAAGTATTAATTTAAGAGTTTCAAAGCAAAATTTCACACTGAATCCAAATAGTGTTCAATTTTAATCGTAAATTTAAAAAATTTAGTTGTTCTCCTTTCGAATATTGAAATATTTTGAATGGAAATATTGTTTCAGAGAAACAATATTTAAACAAGTTTTATTGATATGATAAACTCACAATCAGTATTTGCATTTTAGTATGATAAATTCAGTAATTTTGTTAGCATGTATTGTGAAATTTTTACTCAATATTAATTCCAATTGCGAGTGAACAATCCAGCTTACAACAATTCTCGAATGTTTCACACTTTGGTGATTTCATCATTCTCATTCGAAGAAAATACCAACTTAATCATGATATTACGCTTTCACGGTGCACAACTGTCGGAAAATAAAAAAAATTTTATGTCTCTTGACTCTCATGAAGGAAATGAACATTATTATACGGTTTCTTGGGTACATTTTTCTAAACCATTTCCCAGTCCACAGTAACTAGCTTTTGCAAATAAGTCTTCCGAAAAATGTGGCATTCACTGTCATAATGGAAAATTCAATAAATAATTTTTTTATTTTATAGAAGAATGAAGTAAATGTTAAGTTCAAGCATATATCAAACACTAAAATTTCATACCTCTCCTTTTTGTGAATAAATCATTATGCATCAACATGAAGAGGTTATTAGCTGTCTTTTGTTATACCTTACATTTCTTCGCTAATTGCAGTTTTTATGTAAAACGTAAAACTTTTTCTTCTAATTTGTTTTTCACCCTAGCTTATTCGTGATTTTTTTTGTAATTAACATTATACTATTGTCATTTAAATTTTGCTCAATGTTATTTACAATATAGTTTACAATTAATTAAATATTTCAATTTATTCAATTTCTCAAGAGATTCTTTTGTCAGTATATATTCATGTAATCTAATTTTAACGAATTTAATCTTTTATCTCTTTAATTCTTTCATAATGAATGCATATGTGTAGTTACTTTAATATTGTATTTACAATGCTGGATGTACTTGCTAAATATTACCATAACCGTAAATAAACAGCAGACTTTCTATCTCCTTCAACTGATTATTTTTTTTAAATAGCATTCCTTAAAATACAATAATAAACAATAATAATTTAATAATAATAAAGGTATAGCACCTATATCATATTTCACTGATACTTCAAAGAACCATATTATCAATTTCGAAATATTTTTCTTGCTAACGAAATACGTGACGAGTAAAAAAGAATGAACAATGCAATTTCAACATGGAAGTCAAACACGAAGAGTACGTGTCAAATTCCTTTCCAAGATAACGTCAACAAAGTTTATTGAATCTCTTAGCAAACTCTCCGGCGCGACTCCAAATCGAATACACGCTTTGCTTTCCGTTGACAAGGTCACGACTAAAGTGTACTTTGTGAAACAGAAAATCGTTTAGGGCCTACGTGACAAGTTAAATAGAGTAAGAGGACGAAGGGATTTCGCAAAGGAAAATTGGGACGGTGAAACTTCTAATTGGTCTATTTTGTTAATTGTGCGATCCTCGATCGAACCTCTTCTCTCGCGGATAATTTGCATTTAAATTCATAACGGCTTGATTATAATGGAATTAATCCCAGGAATGGCTTTGATGGTTCATAGTTTGCATAAGTCTGATGTACGGACTCTTAGATTGCGCCAGCTCGAACGAGCACGGAACATTCTTTAATTATCTTTACTCCGGCGTATGCCGACGGGTGTAATCGTTTTCATGAAATATTCCTGTTCGAAGAAGTAACTTGAAGACATTAATGTCATTCATCGAACGATTACGGGCGGAAGTTTATACGAAATCTTTAATACTTGTTTGCTGGTAAGACACCTTGGAAGAAACAACGATGAAACAAATAATGCAGATTGCATTTAGCAATTTAATAGTTGTGGTATTAGTTGTATAAAAGGATATTAACTTGAAATGTTATTAAACATTGTAACTACTATAACTATTACAATTCTACTATTACTAACTATTATTACTTATTATCAATTACTATTGGTTACTATGTCTATTTTATTCCCTGTTCTTTCCTTCCTATACTCAACAGTTAAGAATCCAATCATTTAAAATACAATAAATTATAATAATCAAATGAATCGACTCCCGATTCATCAATCGATAGCAATTACACAAGTCCTTATTACCTAATTAAGAAGCAAAACCAAAGAAATCGGAGAAAGTTGTCCCTCCCTTCAAATAATGACTATAGTTTCCGAAAACTATTCTTCCTTGTTACAAAGTTAAAATTGAAATGAACGCATCGGTGAACACGCGATTAACGGGAATCCAATCTTTCAACTTGATCTTCGCGCGGATAGTTCGAAATTCGAGAGCCGAAAATATCGATGAATTACAACGCGGAAACGGGAAATGAAAAAAAAATGAATAGAAATCTAACCGGGACCGAGGTTGATCACAAAGATTAATTAAGATGTGATGTGAACACGTTAGTGCGGAAGAGGGTTTCGACGGAACGTATCAAACGAACGTGGTGGTCACGCATAACGGCAGTTGCCTGTACGTCCCTCCGGGCATCTTCAAGAGCACATGCAAGATGGACATCACTTGGTTCCCCTTTGACGACCAACACTGTGACATGAAGTTCGGATCCTGGACCTACGACGGCAACCAGGTACACTACTGTCTCCACTACACACTAAACACGCTCAGAGTACACACGGAGCACCAAAGTCTCGTATTGGTCCTGAATTTTTCGAGCGTACTTGTCCTTGAATGCAAGGACCGCGAAACACCGCTCCGGAAACTCCTGGAAAACGATCCCCCAAATGCGCACAATCCGAACCTCGGTATCACCGGCATGGAGAGAATCAATGGCGAAAATCTGGAAAGAGTCTCAGTCCATTCTTTTTCATCTGGGAATCTACTTGCACATTTATTGCGTGTCGAGTAATTTCTAATTAAGAGATTGATTTGGTTTGTTGTTAGAGGTTTTGGTGAAGTGGTCAATAAGGTCCAGTGTAATTATCACATTAGTATTTTATTTTGATTTGTGGAAGGATGAAATGAAGTAGATTGAAGACTGTACGGTGAAATTGATTGCTATGTGATATAAATTGGAGACACATTTGTTTTATTCTAATAGTTATTGAAGTTTCGATATTATATAGTTGAAGAGACGAAGGTGTTAGATATGGAAGTGCTCACTTTGAAATTTACAATTTCAATCTATATTTGACAAATAGCATTGAATAACTTGTGAATCGGACACTGTGTTAAGAATTATTGTACTTAAGAACATTATGAATTTTCAAATCAAAGAAAAACAGCGGAAATTACAAGAAGAAGTAATTAACGTCGCGGTACTATACTTGCAGTGTTATACCTGAAAATAAATCGTAAAAAAGAATTATCCAATAATTCTATTGAAAGCTAAGCAAACAACGTTTGTGATAAATTGAAGAAAATTCACCACGAAAACAAAAATCAGTAATTCATAAATTTAGTAGCGACTCTGTCAAAACCTACAAAAACAACAGACTCACGTTCATCCCATACCTTCGTGAATCTCCAAATAATCCCACTGAAATCCAAAGAAACAATACGTTCGCATGATCGTGCAAGTAAATCCTAAAGGCTCCCGCACATGCTGAAACCTGCGGCGATGCAGGCATTGCTACAAGTGATGGGTTTGAGTTTTCCAAAGTTTCATGATACATGTTGCACTGAAACAAACAGAGAAAAAGGCTCGAACCCATCGCTCGTAGCGATGCCTGTGTCATCGAATGTTTCAACGTGTATGGGACTCTTAAGAGAGAATCGAGGCAGCGCAGCCATCGAGCGGTAGCAAGCTCGTCTCATCTCGTTGAATGGGACGCGAAGGAGGACTGTCCCGGTAACAGTATCATTCCGATAGCGATTACCAGGGACGTAATAATCGAGCCAGGATACGATGTCGCGAATCGACGGAGACGTTTTCCTTGCTTTTTGCGAGCAGTCTGCCCCGCTGCCTAGAATGGCCTGCTGATTCTCTCCATAGCATCGTGGACCGTAAATGGAGACGCTTTTGGAGATCGTGCTGGGGCATTGACGAATCCTTATTGCCGCGATATTCGACCCATCTCTACCCCGCCGGCCCCGCTGAAAGAAAAGTCCCCTTGATCCTACGCCCATGAGATCCATATACCCGACCCCCACTCCCCCGAGGCTTCTTTGTCCGACACAAGAACTCTGTGCAACACAATAGCAACGCTCCATAGATAGCCGTTCGTTCTCACGCTTCGTAGCTTCAGCTCAGATCTATATCTATATATACATGTATAATATTTATATGTGTGTATATACGGGGTGGCGTGAAAGTATGGGACCATCCCGAACGTGCATACTCGTTACATCGCGAACGTGAATACGGATTGAACAGTCCTCTGTCACCTCGCCGGTTGCAGCTTCTGTTTTGTGATATCAATGGTTTGGAAACTGAAAATTTGGGTTTCTTTCGGGTTTTAGTCGGTGAATGGCTATGCGGGGAAAACAAGAATGGACGGAAGCAACTTGTACGATTGTTTTACAGGTTTTATCGTGTTTCTTCCTTTTTTGAATAAAATATGCGTGTTTGGTAGTTCTTACATTGGGGGCGATTCTTATGGATGCTGACGTTTTAGTTTGGAGTATGTGATATTTACGGTAATTGGAAGAAGACATTTTGAAGTAAGTATTTATGAGCAACTTTGGTTTATTCATTGTTACAAGAATGTTTGAGTATGTGGTTTCCATCATTTTGGATACGTTATATCGATTATTACTGCATTGATCAAACGAATCAAGTATTACATTTCGAACGTTAATTAAATCAGACTTTGATAATAGTCTCAGCTCAATAGAAATAATAATTATTATTATTTGCACAACTATTTCATTTTATTGTTAGCTTTTTAGAATTATTCCATTTCTCCAATCAAAATAATTCTAAATCATTAATTCTGTAATTAATTCGTAATTAACTAATTCTGTAAATAATTGTTAATGCATAATTAATTCTGTTTCATTGCTTGGAAATCAATACACAAGGAAATTGTACTTTGAGTAATAGAGTAGTAGAATTTCTGTGTCACTGATACAAAATTTGTAACACACCGCAGTTCAAATTCGCTTTGCCGATTACTATGCACAAATTGAAATTTGACCTAACGTTTCCTCAACCGCCAGTAACGAGCTGTCGCACACCCGCACTTAATTTAGAATCAAAAGAAAGATCTAACGCTCAAACCTTAGTGGTCTCTCGTATTTACATGCTGGTAAATTTCTTGGTAATAGCTGTTGGTGACCACAAACTGCTCAACCGATTTTCTAATAAGACTCAAATGCATGGGTTTCGAATTATGCAAAAACTTAAATTAAAAATAGAATCGGTGATACTTTGTCAAATTTTTTAACATACTGACTTTCTTCTTCTTACATGTATTTTTTTTAATTTTTTGGAATTGGTCATCTGCAATAATGATAACAATGAACAATCTTCATAAGAGAATAATAAGATATTAACGTAACTAAATATAAATGTAATAATATCATAATTACATAAGTATAATATGCATTGACCAGAATATGTTGAGTTAAAGCATACATAGGAATATGCAATATTTTTGCAGTATTGAATGAATGAACCGCAGTATTTGTACAAAAATTTGCTGTTATTTTTTCAAAATTATCATGTATGTGCAATATGATCTTTTATAATACAAATTGTTTATATTTTTCCATTGAACTGAGATCACTGTAAAAATTGAAATCAATTCAAATTAGAAATGTAATACCTTATATATTTGATGAAGTCGTTTACGAAGTGTATTTAAAAATGGTAAAAACGAATATATGAGAGCATTATTTCCAATAGTTGAAGTTACACATAAATATTTACTTTCTGTAACTGCTTTTTCAATTGCCTATGTCCCATATTATCTTACAATGAACCTTCTTGCACAGTTTGTGCTAATATTATTAAGAATAATTTCGCATAATGTTATGAGAAAAAGGAAAAGAAAATATGAAAATCTGTGGACAAATCGAAACAGAATCTTCCGACCGTGCGTGTACGTGCACGTAGCCAAGCGCTGAGCTAAAATTCAAACAACCCGCTTCAAAAGCTGAATTTTCAATTTTTCAGGGTTAATATTTTCCATGTAAAGCTTCAACTTGCAAAACAGAAATGAACTTTTCGATTCGTATTCGCACGAGAAATATGCATGTTCCAGATAGTCTCGGATTTTTAAGACACCTTGTACGTTATACATAATTATAATCATATACATGATTATATAATTATATATAGATATACATATAATGTACATGTATACATATATGATGCGACTTGCATTATTTACGTACATATATGATACATACACGCAACGTCTGCCAACGTGTGTGAAATATCGAGAAGTGTGGATAAGCAGACAAGGTTGAAACATGATGGTGGTCGTGGGAATGTTCATTGCATTAAAATGTGATGTATCCTCTCTCGCTCTTCGTAATATTTATTCTAAATGTCTAACAGATTGGCTGCCAAGTCATTCATATATGAATGAGATGGCCCTACACGTGAAACTGGTTACATATTTTCTTCAGGGGCTTCGTCAGTCAAATGTGATTGAACATTTGATAAAAAATATGTGAAAAGTACTAAAAGCATATAATTTGAGCAAATTATGATAAAAAATGTATTCCTGACTTCCGGGATGAATATTTTATATACAGTAATGGCAGCAATGTGTTTAGGGAAATCATTTGTTACTTGAAGTTCTTTAAGAGTTACCGACATTCAGGGTATTTTTCTTTTTAGAGTACATTTCTTAATTACACTTTTAGGGGAGTTTTCAACGTTTGAAGCTTTCAGGAAGATTGATGAATCGATAGTTCTTAACGATAATGGTAATTTTTTTGCATTCATAAAAATTACTAGTGACTCTAGAGTTACTATCGAAAGATTCGTTAACTCTTTGCCGTACTTTAACGAGTTCAACTCGTTATACAAATTTTGAACTAAACGTGAACATCACGAGTTTGACTCGAAGTGACAACACGAGTGAGATATCGGTGGCCCGGATTATGACCGGTTAAATGGTACGGCAAAGGCTCTAGGAGGCTGTGCTTATATCTTACTTTTTCGTACACAGAGCTGTGAGTTGAAATGTTTAAGCCATTAACGTGCAAATATAATTGTTAGGAATGGTTTATGTTTTTACAGATAGCTACGAGGCTTAAATGCAAGAATTTTTTACATAGAGTTGCAACTATTTTGACAAATATTTGATAACGAAGGCAGCAAAGCTACGCAATACTAGTTCTCAATTTTTATTTGGGAAGAGCAAACTATTTACTCTTAAATTATTTAAAATAAATAATAACAATACGAATACATTGCTATTATGTTACTAGATATATCTAGTATTTTAATATTCTATTCCACAGAGGGATATCCCCTCCTAACAACTTAATTATTGATTAATGATTGTTAATATCAAATAACTTAATTGTATAGTGCTAATGAATAAGAAATTTACATTACAAGGAAAGGTATCGAACTCGGAAATTCAAAAAGTTATGAAACTTCGTCTATAAGTAGAGTAAGGTCAAGTGTAATACATTTCGATCTTTTGTACTGAATTTCACTTTGAAGGG